TCCTTTCTTTATGTTATATTCTACATTCTCTTCTATAATAGCATAAATATCTTCTTGTGTCTGGTACAGAGCTTCTGATTTTTCCAGGGAGATATTATTAAGCCAGCATCACCTAATGACTTCTGCAGTCTGAGCCATTTCAGAGAACGACCACTTGCCAGTTCAGTTCATTTGCAGTGGAGATGCCGGGACCGTCACGATCAGTGAATGAATTCCAGCAATGTTTTGGACAGGTTCCTGCTTTCAGTTGGCATCTGGTCTCCTGTCTGCCTCTCTGCTCGATCTCTGCTGCATATGAGCAAGGCATTGAGCTGTTACTCATTTTTAAAGCTGGTTCCCTTTGGCACCAGTTGCACTTCAGCTGACTCCTGCAAACAAACAAAACATTCTTCAAAGATCTGTGGAAGTTTGGAAGGAGTCTCACATTTCTCACTGCCTGCACTTTGCAAATAACAACACTGCTGTATTTTCCCTTACCTGAACACACACAGACTTTACCTCTTCTGAAGCTGACAGGAGTTTCCTACATCTGATCCCATGTGTGGGTTGCCTTTCAAACTGTTTTCCCCTGTAACTGGATAGTCTCCCAGTTCTGAAATAATCAGAAAGACTTGAATTGTTGGATTGATTTATTTCTTTGTTGGGATATAAATGAAATGAAACAGGCACAAGCCAAGATTTAAAAAAAAAATAAAAATCAGGGGATTAATATTATGTTCTGACATTTTTATTTAGGCTAATAAATAAGTAAGTATGAAAAAATGTTGAATGGCTCCCAGCAGCGGTGTTTGGAGTTGATGGTTTTGAGTGCTTGGTTCTTAAGGAAATGAGGCTGTTATACCTGCATGCATGAGTCTGAAGGCAGAGGTCTGAGCTAAGTTTCTATTTTTAAAATTCCTGGCCATGCTGCTATTTTATTTCATGCATTCGAGTAGGTAGGCATATTTCAGCTGGGGGGTTTGATGTCAGTGTCATGAGTCTGATGCTAAGCTCCTGCTAAAATCTTGGCCTAGGATTGTTTAATTTCAATTCTGTTCCAACAAGGATACCAGGAAATCACTGCTGCTTCCGAGCATTATTTTTTTTTCCTCTGTTTTCCTTCTCTTCTTTTAGCTCTCTGAGTGCTGTACATTTTCCTGTGAGTATTATCCTAACAGTTTTTCATTGGTATGAAAAGAGCTCAGTGTAGACTGTGGTACAAACTAGAAGCCTGTTTTAACCAGCAACTCTAATCTGCCTAAGGCTTTATGACCTGCTGTGATTTCTTCATGGACAGAGCTAGCAGGGTTTTGGTATAGCTAGAAAGCATCATGCCTTGGTACAAATTGGATGCATGCAGCAAAGTTTTTGAAATTCTATCAGAATTCTTTTTTTGATAGGATTCCATTAGAAAATATTTGATAGAAGAAAGCTAGAGCATTGATTCAGGAAGGCTGAGCTTATGGACGTCCACAACATTCTGCTGCACTGTGAGTTTTCCACAGAAGGTTTACAAAACCTATGTCCCAACCAGGCAGCAGAAAGGTAGTAACATGTGACTGCCTGCCTGAAGGCAGAAACTACAGATTCTTGGTCCAGCTTTTGTTTCTCTTTTCCAATAACACAGACGGTGGTGCACTTTCAAGGGCTGAAGAGCTATTTTAGCTAGGATCACAAGCATGGCAACAAGCCATGAAGGATTCTCAAAAGTGTCAGATGGAAATATACAGATCCTGAAGGAGAATGACTGCAAGTATGTGGTGGCTTTGGAAGAGATAGGCTGCCTAGAGAGAATGTGTTTTTTCCATCCTTTAGAGATGTTCAGAACTTGACTGGGGAGGGCTCTGAATCCAAGTTTAAAGTTAGCCCTGCTTTTAGCAGGGGTTTGGACTAAATGATATCCAGATGTCCTTTCTGACCTAATTTATCCTATCAATCTCTTTATTTTTGTGTGCGTGGAATTTCCTAATTTGTCTGAGTTGCAGCCCTGTCACTTTGGTCAGCAGTAAGGTGGCACCACAAAGCCTCCCATAGAAAGTGTCAACAAATATTGCTCTACAGGATGTTTTAGATAAAAAGGAGATGTTGAAGTATAGAGGAGAAGATTGTAAAAGTTCTTGTAAGTAGACAGTTTGGAGGATGAGAAAAGGCAACTGAAGGGAGACAGAATTTTGGAGCCATCTCAGCAGTTTCATCCCGTTGTAGATTTTCCCTACCACATCTCTGCTGGACTTGATATACAACAGCCTTGATATACAATAGCCATGAAGTAAGTGAAACAGTGCCTTGGGTGAATGTATGAGCTCAGTGCTTTCCCGATTACATTTTCTCTGGCATTGGGAAGAGAGGGACATTCCTACAGCTGATATCTTCACTAAGTCTCCATGCAGCAAAATTTCAGGTTGGAAATTAGGAGAAATTTCTTCTCAGACAGAGCAGTCAGGCACTGGGGCGGGTTGCCCAGGGAGGTAGTGGAGTCAGCGTCCCTGGGGGTGTTCAAGGAAAGGTTGGACGTGGTGCCTGGGGACATCGGTTAGTGGGTGACATTGGTGGTGGGGGAGTGGTAGGACCAGGTGATCTTGGAGGCATTTTCTAACCTTAATGATTCTAGGATTCTAGGATTTTATGAAAATGGAACAGCTGAATGCTTCAGGTCACTAGAGCTATTCACTGCACAAACAAATGACGGTTTTATGAGCTTTTCCAGGGCAGAACAGAAAAACTGACTCTATTTGTTTGGAAATGTTGGCAATTATGCTCATCAGAATGTCAGAGTGCTTGTTGAGTTATTTTTTCCTTTTCACTTTTTCCTTGATATTCATAGACAATCAGATTGAAAGGGACAACAGTGTTAATCTACATCTTTATACTGGTGTCTCCCATTCCCTGTGCATCTTTACTTTTTTTTTGTTGTTTGTTTGTTTTTTTTGTTTAAACAAAAGACGTGATTAAGAAACCACAGCCAGATTATGAAATCAGCATCCTGAAGAGGTGTCAAGTGAAGAGAAATGGAAGAAGGAGGGGAGGTTCTAATTTCATGTTAACTTGTCCAGGGAATATTGGTAAGAATATTGCTGTGTTGTTAAAAATGTGACGTAATTCTTAAAAGCTTTCATTATTTATGTATCTATTTATTACTTTGTCAGTGGCAGCTATAGGAGAATTGAAAAATGAAACCACGGTTTTTAGCCAAAATGCTCTGATAACACTGTTTGAATTAACTTTTAAATCAGGTTGCTATGTTGAAGCTTTCATCAAAATATGGCAGCAGGTTGTGTGCTGGAGGAGAATTTCTTGCTTGTGAGAAGAGTAGTTGGCATATTATGGAAATTGTACTTCTTATATCAGTTTTGTGTTTGTATTTTGTAGTGTCAAGGTTGGTGGTTTTTTTTTTGGTTTTGTTTTGCAGAGAGAAATAACCATATTTTATATTGGTTTTGTTACAAAATTAAAATACTGCCTTATTGCTTTGGGTAATGTCATAACATAGAAAAATGATGACAAAGCAGGACATAACATAATCCAAAATACAGACTCTGCTTCCCAATAGTCTTCTGTTCATCTACACATGAAAGCAGTGTATAGATATAGAAAAGTTAAATGTTATTAAGTTTCAGGAATATAGTAAAACATAAAAGGCTACAATGAAGACTGTTCATACTGTCCTAAATAACTCATGGACTCAAATGAAGATACAATAGTTGCCAGAGTTAAAAATGAACTTCTAGTTTTGGAGCAGTTCAGTAGAATTCCGTGGATATTTAAATCTTAGAGACATCTTTGAGATTGTTTAAAACATCAGCTTCTTAAACTATGGAGTCACATCCCTTTAAAATTCCCCAGGATTATTCATCTGGTGTGTGCAGCTCTGTATTCATAGCTGTGCACTGCAGGAGGGAAGGGTGATGTGGTGCGATGATTTAAATATCCTTCAAAGTTAAAATCCCCGCAGTCTAGTATGACTGTTATTACTAGAAGTGCAGCTTTGGTGTATGATATGCAAAGTGACAAAAATGACAGTAGCTGTTGAGGAAATATGCATCTATAAATTAGATTGTTTTAGCATCGTTCCCTGAGAAACAAAGAATAAGATGGAGTGAATATGAGTTCTCTATTTCTCATCATTTCACTCAGCACAGATATCTCATGAATCAAAATGAATGACCAAGGTGGTAAGGCTAATCCATACCATAAAACAGGCTAGACTGGTTTTATGAAGTGTCTGTGAACAGAGCTAGAAAATCAAGAACTTGGAAGGTCTTTTCATGTTTCTGTTCTGCAAGTATGTATGGGAGAAGTGTCAGGGGCACGAGGTGCTCATGAAAAAGATAAGTTACCAGATAATAGAACAAAATGGAAGAGGGAAAGGAACTGAGACAGCAGAAGAAACAATACAGAAAATACTGACAACATAGAAATACAGAAAATATAGGAAAAAGAAGCATCAGAGAAGGAATGTACCAGAACAAGGGTGATTAGTCTGGAGCAAAGAAAAATGAAGAACAAATCCTGCCTTTGGAGAGATCTCCTTGCCTTTAGGATTCCTAAATGCCAGTTATGATTAACAGGGATCTCCTAGCCTTACTCTAAATCAGTATTTTGGATTTCTTTCAGTGGGAATCAAATAGGTGAAATGGGTGGTGCTATCAGGATCTCCTGCTGATCTCCTGGACACTGAACAACCAGTGCCCAAGACCCTTTTCTAGCAGTTTATAGAAAACCCTTTCCATTTGGCTATTTATAATCACAGAGCAGATTTTCAAGCCTAGTTGTATTATTTTATCTAAACTAGCCTTCCTTTTCCTTGCTACAAAAGGGACGTGTTGTCACAGAGAAAAAAGCAACAGCCCTACTACTTCATAATAACACAAGGAAGTAGGAGTTTTATGAAAATGAGAAATATTCATTGCAAAAAAAAAAAAAAAAAAAAAAAGTGACCTTGTCAGCAGATGCAGAGGTGTGTATGTGCCTAGAGTGAAGCTATGATACGTGGATGCAAGTTTAAAAAGGATCCTACGGGAAGCAGTAAAAAACACAGAATTGGTAATGGAAATAGGAGCAAATAACACTGCAGGGCTGTGCTGAGTTTAGGTGTCCCACTTCACCATCTAAGTGTGGAACTTTAAGCAATGGGTGACTCTTTAGCAAAATTTTGCCAGGCCCCAGGGACAGAAATAACACATGTGGCAGAGTAATGAAGACCTGTAGATGGCTCAATTATTGGGCTGTTCTACTACTGAAATGCATTCATTACTTTTTCCAAAAGAGGAAGTCCACCCGACTATCAAAGACATGATGTCCCTCTAACAGTGAGGTAAGGACCAGTGTAAAAAGTTATTTAGATTAGGGAACACTTGTGTAATTTCATTTTTCTTTCTGTGAAGAATACAGAATACAAAAGAAAGGTTGTTAGATGAACAAGGTTACATAGTTAATAAAGAAATTGACTGCAAATGGATGATATTAATACTGAAGACACAATACTCAAGTAGTTGATACAGCTTTTACTAGCAAGATATTTAAAGCAGGACAGCATTCCTGGCTGAGTATTGAAGAAAACAAGATGTTCAGCAAAATCAGAAATAAAGATAAGGATAGAATAAACCATGAGTAGTTCTGAACACAGTCATTTGGTAACATAAGTTCTTGGGATAGTGTGACTGTGTTGGATCTCAAGGGTAAGAGAAGGGTATCAGAGACAGCAACAGGTATGAATAGATACCATAACAGTGTTAAGGAGATGCAGATTACTGGGGATTGTGTTGATATGTGTTAAGCCTTATACAATGCCTTAATTTGCCTGGTGTAGACTGGAGAACAAGTGGTCTTGATGACAGCTGGGCCCAGGTATTCCAGGGTGTGAGTGGTCACAAATTTCTTTGTTGAAGTGACGGAATTTTGTATTCTAAGCATGAGGAAAATCTTAGAGAGAAGCTCTCCAGGTTCAGTAAGATAAATAACAGCTTCAAGAAGGAGATTAGAAGAGAGTTTTCAAGGGGAGGAAAAAGGGCCCTCAGCAGTCATAGAGGTCAACATGTGGAGGAATGAAGTGCAAACTGCCAAATGTCGGGTCGAGATAGACCTAGCAAAAGATGTTAGAACAAATATCAGAAGGTTCTTGAGTTGTATAGGAAAAGAAATGCTATGCAGTGGGATATTCATAATGGTTAAGGATAATAAAATGTGACAGCAAGATCAAATTAATACTTGGATTCACATTTCAGTAGAAGCTATAGACTCTGAGGCAGAGGCATAGCAGCCAGTGGGAAAGAAAATGAGAGAAGTTTTAAGATGAGATTTTGAAGGAAAGTATAATTGGAACTACTAATGAGCTAAATCTCTAATAAACCATGGATGTGAGAAAATGCAGCATGAACTTGTCAAAGGTGTGCAGTGGCTGTGTAAATTGATAGACTCACAGATTCATAGAATGGTGGAGGTTGGAAGGGACCTCTGGAGGTCACCTGGTCCAAACCCTTGCTCAAGCAGGGACACTTAGAACATGTTGCCCAGGTCCATGTTGTGGTGGCCTTTGAAGATCTCCAAAGGAGAGAGTCTATAAAACCTGTCTGGGAAACTGTTTCCAGTGCTCAGTCACCTGCTCAGTACAGAAATGCTTCCTGATGTTCAAACAGAACCTCTCGTGTTCCAGTTTGTGCCCATCGTCTCTTGTCCTGGCATTGAGCACCACTGAAAAGAGTATGTCTCTGTCTTCTTTGCACCCTCCTTCAGGTATTTATACACATTGGTAAGATCCCCTCTGAGCTTTCTTTTCTCCAAGCTGAGCAATCCCAGCTCTCTCAGCCTCTCCTCACAGGAAAGATGCTCTAGTTCTTTGATCATCTTTGTGGTCCTTCATTCATCATTCTGAGAAGATGTGCTGTAGAGGAGGACTGCTAAGGATAATTAAGAAAAGAGGCACCTTTTGGAAAAAAAAAAAAGAAAAGCTAAAATAAATTGTACTGCTCAGTATAAAGAAAAGACAGCTTGGAAGAGGACATAGCATAAATATATAAAAGATTGTGTGTGTGTTGGGGGGGGGGGGGAGGTGGGAAAAAAAAGCTCTATTTAACTTAAAGACAAGCAAATGGGAATCAATTGAATATGAATATCTTTGTCCTGGAAACCTTGAAAAATTTGCTAATGCTAAGATGAGTCGAACTCTGAAAAATCCTTAAAAATCTGAGTGACTTAAGATGAAGCTGGAATTTTTGGAAATGGTTTATATGATATTGCTACCTGAAATATCAAAGGATTGACTTGAGGACTTACAGGTCTTCCTCAGTTGCATATCCAGATATACAAAAAGATGAGAGCATCTTTTCCGCATTTGATACTTTTTATTTCTCTGAAAGGTGCAAAGACAATCATAATGATAATTAGTGCAATTAATTCTATTTTTTTTTTCCCTATAAATTTGAGGTATTTTTGAAGCCAATGACAAAGGTTATGCCTGATTTAGTTGAAAAGTGTATATTTAATAATATTTAATAACAAGAACTGTGTGATGCAAGAAAAGAATGATGGATAATATTTCCTTTATCCAAAAATAAAAAGCATGATACGGGGCCATGCTGCTAGTCATTATTACCAGCAATAAATCTGCACTGTTGCTTAATTATTCACTGACGTTAAATGCCATCTTGTACACACCCTGCCAACATAGGATCGTTCTTCACTTTGCTTCTTCCTCTTGCAGATTCCCCTCTTCATGAGAGCATATGAGTGTTATATATCTGTTGCAGTGCTGTGTAGTAGCTTCTCTTCCTTGTGGAAAAAGAATATGAAATGGGGTGACAATGTTATAAGTAATTTGGTAGGTTTCTATGCATTGCTGTTTTGTCTTTTTTTTTTTTTTTTTTTATTTATTTAATTAATTTTATATACAAGACAGGCAAAGTCATATAATCATGTGCTTGGACTATAGCCCAATGAGGGTTGTGATGGTCTAATTACATCTTCTGAGTTGTGCAGAGGGCTACTGTGGATCATAGATTCATATTTTTTTTATTTCTGGAGTTTCTAGAAGAAATTCATTAATATACCTTCAAATAATATAGCCCTTATGACCTGAGCCATAGGTATCCTGTAAGCAGAGCAAGGTACATAATGCTGTAAACAATTATCCTCTCACTCACAAAGGTTTTTCACAACCAGGGTGGGATTAATCTCAACTAACTTAGAAGAGACAGATAGGTTCTAAACCCTGGAGCTGGGTGTGACATTGAAAGTGCGAATAATTTTGTCAATCATATTGCCATTACAGTCAGTAACACACAACTAGGAAGGCTCATATTTTGATATAGTGAAACTGCATGGGGACAGTTAGGAAGAAAATGTAGGAGCAAATAGAGAGAGAAAAAAAAAGGAAAAAGTGGTGAAAAAATAGAAAGAACAGTAGCTTCTGGCTCCCAGTTGCTTGAGAGGGAGAAGGAACAAAAAATAGCCATTTAGGAAGACTGGTTTCCTCAAAACCATGTTGGCTAACAGCACATGATAAAACAACAACAACAAAACTCGATTTGTCAAAAGAAGAGCCAGGTACAGGGTGATTTTCCTTGAAGGAAAATAGATGTTGGTTTGAAGAAAAAGCATAGGTTGGATGGCCGGCCAGAAGGAATGGGAGAGATCCAGGGCAGCAGTAGGAAAGGATACACAATTCCCATAGGTGTAGGGGGAAAGTTATACAAGAAAGCAGATGACAAGGAGCAAGGAATGGCAGACACAAGAGAATAGTCCCCAAAGGAAATAAAGTAGTAATGGAAATAGCAAGAATGTCTGTATCCATGTGCTGTTTGAAGACAGAATTTGTGTGTATGAAAGTTTATGTTCACTGGAACTGAGAATGAACAAAAACGTAAAAGCTGAGATTTTGAACTTGGAATAAAAAAGAGAATGTTCAGGTATAACACACATTTTGAAACACACATTTCTCTGTATTTCTTACTTTTTCAGTTTAAAGTTCATCCACCAGCTTGCATGCCTTGATATTTGCAGTTTGGCAGTATGAACAGCTGTGTTTTCTCAATTCAAGAGGGAGGAGTCCCCTTTGCAGAGAAGGAAAAACTATCGGCAAATCATGTCACAGGAAGCAAAAAGAACCAAAAAAAATTTCTTTTTTCTCTGGCTTTGAAGTGCCCTAGACATTCCGAACACAAAATATGCAGGAAGCATAGTCAGACAGGGAAGAACTAATATACGTAGAGAATGTTCCACCTGTTAGGGATACAGACAGTGTATAGAAGATGTGATATGTCATGTTCCTACATGTCACTGGCAGATATGCACTTTTAGGAAAATACAAATAATGGGAAATCTTGGGAAGTCTAAGCAAATTTGCAGAGCAACATTTCGGTTGACTGAAGAACTTTCCTTCTGCTTCTGGAGAAATGTCTATGTTTTCTTCAATCATTTTGTTTTTCACCTAAGAGTGTGACTAGATGTGCATTTTTCAGATTAGGTTTGGATTTAGTACTCATTTTTCATGAAAGATAAATTAGAGTTAAGAGTCCCTCCTCTGTAATGATAGAGAATAAAAATTTTTCTGGGATACCAAGATTCTTTGACAGTGAGGAAAGCATTGGTATACTACTCCTTCACTTAATAAAAAAAAAAAGACAGCTGTTTGCTGTTTGTAGTTCCAATTCCTTTGCTTTAGCTCAGTGGTATAAGCTTTCTTCCTGATCTTTTTGTCCTAATAATCAAACTGCTGCTCTTCAAAAGCTCCTATTGGAAAAATGGACTACAGGAAGTTATTTTAAATTCACACAGAGAACTATTTTAAATTCAGGCACTTCATTCTCTTCCCTTTTACTGCAAGTTAGGTTTTGCTGAGTCTCTCAAATACATTGTCACTTAGTTTTATCTCCCAGATAAATTTGCTGTAACTTTTTTATGTCAGGAAACATTGTTTTACTTCTGCACCTATTTTTTTCCCCAGATAATTTCAACACAAATTCTAAAATTGGTGTGAATGGAGAATGAATGGGAATTCCCAGGCGTTCAGCCACCTTATGGAGTCCACAGCAAGGAGAGGGGGCTCCCAGAATGGCCTCTGCTAATGGCATCTGGATTAACAGTTCATCAGGACCCCGTCACATCCACCTGCAGTTTCACAACATGCTTGGAAAATCCAGCTTGTGGAAAGGAGACCAGTGCTACACAGTCCTGGGTTGATACATTTAACAATTGTTTCTTTTGCTTTCTGCATCTGATGAGGTATTTTTTGGGAGCTGTTCCAAAAATGGGGGTTTTGCTGGGGTTCAGGAAGAATGACTCTGTGTTTTACAATGTGGTTTTGTTCCCTTATAAAAATTTAAAAAACTCCACACAATAAGAACCCAAAATCATGCGGCATACAGTGTGATTTTCTGAGCTCCCTCTGGGAAGACCTTTGCATGGTTTTGCTGTGGCAACTGATAACAGTGAGCAGCCCACACTGCGAATGTTTCTGCAAGCTGTTGGCACAGCTCACAACAATACATCTATCCACTCACTTGTAAAAGAAGCAGCACTCAGCAACATAAAACCAGGAGAAGCTTCAAGCAACGTAGGGTGATTATTTCTCCCTGTAACATATTCAGGCACAGAAGGCATTAACAGTGAAAAAAAAAAAGTCTTTTAAAAAAACCACAGTTTTAAAAAAGTCTTGTTTCAAAAGTGACCTCTCAGGATAATTTATGACCCTCACACATAGCTGGAAGGAACATTTAAGTGAGAGGCAGGTGTTTTTTTCAGGCTTGCAGGCTAAAATGAGTCCTGGCTGATGTTCAGCTATCCAGAAATATGAGTGATCCTGCTGGGTCCATGCCACCAGGAACGGATGAGCTCACATGCGGCTGGCAGGAGCCAGGTGTCCATCAGAGACAAAAACAAGGCAATTGTATGCAGAATTTGGCCAACATTACTCAGAGGAGAAGGGTGAACAATCAACCCTGGAGCATCTTCTGCACTCCCTGGAGTAGATTTAATCCACTCCATTGATCACAGCATTTCCAAGCAGCAGCGTGAGACTAAAAATCAGTCTAACCTTTACTTTATCTCACCACAGGTGGTGGTCCCAAGTGCCTCTTGTGTGAGGTAATCGAAGGCTCTGGGAAGGCAGCTGGTGGGAGGTCATGCACTAAAACACAGGTAATACAGGTTGAAAGCTGGCTGCAAATAGCCCAGGGGCAGCAGCAACTGGATGTACTATCCTCAATCTAATGTGTTTGTAATTGCCACTTAAAGAGAAACCATGCTGATTTTCTTTCTGGTGGATCTCATCATGTCCTCTGTGCTAATTACCCATCTAGCATCAATGCTGATAAAAGCAGAAGAAATGATTGCTATTGGAGTTCTTTTGGAGACCTAGCTCAGCTGTGATGAAGTGAAATACATTTTTTTTTTGGCCTTGCATAATTTCATAGAATCATAGAATCATAGAATATCCTGAGTTGGAAGGGACCCTTAAGGATCATCAAGTCCAACTCTTGACACCGCACAGGTCTACCCAAGTTCAGACCATGTGACTAAGTGCACAGTCCAATCTCTTCTTAAATTCAGTCAGGCTCGGTGCAGTGACCACTTCCCTGGGGAGCCTGTTCCAGTGTGCAACCACCCTCTCTGTGAAGAACCCCCTCCTGATGTCCAGCCTAAACTTCCCCTGCCTCAGCTTAACTCCATTCCCGCGGGTCCTGTCGCTGGTGTTAATGGAGAAAAGGTCTCCTGCCTCTCGACACCCCCTTACGAGGAAGTTGTAGACTGCGATGAGGTCTCCCCTCAGCCTCCTCTTCTCCAGGCTGAACAGGCCCAGTGCCCTCAGCCGTTCCTCGTACGTCTTCCCCTCCAGGCCTTTCACCATCTTCGTAGCCCTCCTCTGGACACTCTCCAACAGTTTCATGTCCTTTTTATACTGTGGTGCCCAGAACTGCACACAGTACTCGAGGTGAGGCCGCACCAGCGCAGAGTAGAGCGGGACAATTACCTCCCTCGACCTACTAGCGATGCCGTGCTTGATGCACCCCAGGACACGGTTGGCCCTCCTGGCTGCCAGGGCACACTGCCGGCTCATATTCAACTTGTTGTCTACCACGACCCCCAGATCCCTCTCTTCTAGGCTGCTCTCCAGCGTCTCATCGCCCAGTCTGTACGTGCAGCCAGGGTTTCCCCGTCCCAGGTGCAGGACCCGGCACTTGCTCTTATTGAACTTCATGCGGTTGGCGATCGCCCAGCTCTCCAACCTATCCAGATCCCTCTGCAAGGCCTTTCCACCCTCATTCGAGTCCACAACTCCTCCAAGTTTGGTGTCATCAGCAAACTTGCTCAAAATGCCTTCTATTCCTACATCCAGATCGTTTATAAAAATATTGAAAAGTACCGGCCCTAAAATGGAGCCTTGAGGGACCCCACTGGTGACCGCCCGCCAGCCTGACGCAGCCCCATTCACCATAACCCTTTGGGCCCTGCCCGTTAGCCAATTGCTCACCCATCGTATGATGTTTTTATTTAGCTGTATGCTGGACATTTTGTCCAGTAGGATCCTATGGGAAACCGTGTCAAAAGCCTTGCTGAAGTCCAAAAAAATCACATCAGCTGGTTTCCCTTGGTCCACCATACGGGTGATCTTATCATAAAAGGAAATCAGGTTAGTTAGGCAGGACCTACCCTTCACAAACCCATGCTGGCTGGGACCAATGACTGCTTTGTCCCCCAGGTGCGCCTCAATACGTTCGAGAACCATCTTCTCCATGATTTTACCAGGCACTGACGTGAGACTGACAGGCCTGTAATTGCTAGGGTCTTCTTTCTGACCCTTCTTGAAAATCGGCACAATATTTGCCAGCTTCCAGTCTACCGGGACCTCTCCAGACTCCCAGGATCGTTGAAAAATAATTGAGAGAGGTTCCGCGATGACGTCCGCCAGCTCCTTCAGCACCCGGGGATGAATCCCATCCGGACCCATGGACTTGTAGGGATCCAGGTGGAGTAGCAGATCCCGCACACGTTCAGGGTCGGTCGGGAGTTTGTCATCCCCACCGTCCCGGTCCTGCAGCTCGGGGCACCCTGGGTCCCGAAGCCCATCATCGGCATTGAAGACAGAGGCAAAGAAGGCGTTAAGCGTCTCTGCTTTGCCTATGTCATCGTCTGTGAGAAGACCTTCCCTGTCAAGGAGCGGCCCTACGTATTCTTTAGTTCTCCTTTTTCCATTCACATATCTAAAAAAACCCTTTTTATTTTCTCTCACAGACACAGCCAGCTTCAACTCTAGGTGTGCTTTAGCCACACGAATTTTCTTCCTACAGACACGAGCAGCATCCCTGTATTCTTTCCATGTCACCCGGCCCTCCTTCCAGTAGCGAAACACTCTCTGTTTCCGCCTAATCTCCATAAGAATGTTCCTGGTCAGCCACGACGGCCTCCTGCCCCGCCTGCCTGACTTGCGATATTTAGGAATCGCCTGATCTTGTGCTTCTAGGAGGCATCGCTTAAAGAGTGACCAGCACTGGTGGACATCAAGGCCTTCAAGAGCAGCTTCCCAGGGGACCTTGCTGACTAGTTCCCCGAGCAGCCTGAAGTCCGCCTTCCCCATATCTAGGGATGAGGTTTTGGTGGCACTTTTCCTTCTGTCACCGTAAATTTTGAACTCAACCACTTCATGGTCGCATGAAGTCTTCATTTCTTGCACCTTCCTGCAGGCAATTGTCCTGACTGATGCTTCCCTACATGAAACAACCAGGAGCGACTGAGACACCTCTCGTGCAGAGCTGTGTCATGCTGGCAGCAGGTGGGGAAGGCTGTTTCCTGCGCTATATTATCAGACTTGGCATTGTATGACTGATGTCAAATTATTTCAATTGAAAAAAGAAAAATGTCCTTTTTTCATGCCAGTATCAGCCATCAAAAGGACAGACAACCTCAGCTCTTCATTTTGTACTGAGTGTGCCAATAAAAACATCATCAGCTTCATGTTGTCCTTGTGATGCCCTCCTCTTCAGTGAACAGCAGAGTGTTGTCCAAACACAAGTCAATGGTGTGAGGAAAAAGGAAAGCTGATTCGAATGTAACAAGCTGGGATTTTTTAAAATTATTATTATTGTTATTTTCTGTAGTTTTCCAAATCCCTGGAAAGATTAAAATATAATTGTATGTCTACTACACAATTGCAGAAAGGCTTAAGGGAATTACAAGATTTAAGAAGCCCATGATATTGCTATTATTTTATTCTTATCTCATTGTGAAATACTTTCCCATTAGGGTGGAAATAAGATCTTCTTGTTTCCATTTTAGTACTAACTCTCGGCCAGGCTGTCAGTTCAAATGGGAGGGCAAACAAAAGCACAGCTCTGCTGCTGGGAGGTCTCTCATCTGAGAGATATCTGAGGGATTATGAGCCATGAGAGCTGATTTACAGAACAAATAAAATTATTTATCTGAAAATTTCTGTCATAATCATTAAGGTCCCTTCTATGCTGTGAAAGATCAGGTAGAACTGTAAGAATTATACACGCTGTCAATTTTGGCATCTCTTTTTAACACTCTTTTCAATTTATGTTAGAAGAACTTTTCTTTGTACAGTTGATCTCAAATGTCAACAAAGTCTACACTGCGAGCAGCGCTGTGCTGCCATAAATCACGTGGTTATTGCACCTCGGGGATGCTAGAAGCTCAGTGCCCATGAAGACACATTTACGTTTGAAAAAAAGCACCATTTCAGCTTGCGATCTGACAGATGGATTCTGTCTCCATAGGTCTCATGTAACCACTCCATCACTTAATAGTTTATTATAACAATAATCACCATGAAAATTTCCCAAAGGGAGGCTTTAATTTTTCACCTCTGAAGCCACAGCAAAGTGATTTTGGTATTCATGTCTTCTCATGAACTGTTCCCTGCATCTTTTTGCTCACAGATGGGCATGAATGAAAATGAAATGAATGAGTACTTGCAGAAAAACAGGCTGTAGTAACATACCAAAGGAGGAGGGGAAAGTAAGAAGCTGTGTTTTTATGCTGTATTTGGTGAAAACTCTCAGTGACTTCTGGTAGCCTGAGAATGTGGTGCAGGATCAGGCCCTCACTGCATTTCAGTTAAACCTAGATTATTTTTCCCTGGAGGAATCCTTGGGAGAATGTTTTCTTAATTTTAATATTTCAGAGCAGTGAGCTTCTACTGTTTTACGCAGACATGCTCGCAGCACTGACTAATAAAGACGGCCTGGACTGAATGTCAGCCTGCAGATCACAAGCTAACATTGGTGCCATTTCGCAATTCAAGTGTTGTTTTACAATGAAATGAAGCATGTGGATCTCATGGATGCCCGGCATGATGTGGAGAATGCTTGGGGAGCCACAAGATTGGGCTCAGAGACGCCTCCAGGTACTTCAGGACGATTCTGAGCCCCTCCACAGCTGCTCCCCACGAGAGTCCCAGCCCACAGCTCACTGAAGGTTCAGCAACTGACTGTAAAAAGACGAAGGTTCTTCCTTCCCTGT